GCCTAGTCTGGCGGAAGCGGCGCGCGAGGAACTCTGGGAGTTGAAGTCCGGCCTCAGCTACGGTCTTCCTAGGTTGGCGTAAGCGGCGCGCGAGGAACTCTGGGAGTTGAAGTCGGGCCTCAGTCGCAATTTTCCTAGTCTGGCGGAAGCGGCGCGCGGGGAGCTCTGGGAGTTGAAGTCCGGCCTCAGAAGCGGTCTGCCTAGTCTGGTGGAAGCGGCGCGCGGGGAGCTCTGGGAGTTGAAGTCCGGCCTCAGCAGCGGTCTGCCTACCCTGGCGGAAGCGGCGCGCGAAGAACTCTTGGAGTTGAAATCGGGCCTCAGTCGTAATTTTCCTAGTCTGGCGGAAGCGGCGCGCGAGGAACTCTGGGCGTTGAAGTCCGGCCTCAGTCGGGGGGGGAGGTCTTCCTAGTTTGGCGGAAGCGGCGCGCGGGGAGCTCTGGGAGTTGAAGTCCTGCCTCAGCTGCGGTTTTCTTAGTTTGGCGAGGAACTCTGGGAGTTGAAATCTCGCCTCAGCCGCGGAGTTCCTAGTCCGGCGGAAGTCGCGCGCGACGGACTCTGGGAGTTGAAGTCCTCCGTGTCTCGCCTCACGCCCGCCTGAGCCGCGGAGGCTTTCTGCCGGCGGAAGTGTGGCGCGCGAGGCATTCTGGGAATGACAGTCCTTCATCCCCCCACCCGCCTGGCCCTCCTGAGCTGCGGTGGCTTTCCGTTGCGCGCGGAGCACCCTGGGTTTTGAAGTCCCCTCGCCTTTTCATGCTCTCCCTACGCCGGCGAAGCACTCTGAGATTTAAAGTCCCGATTTAACGCCCGCCGGAGCCGCTGCGGCCTTCCTAGGGCGGAAACCGCGCGCGGGGCACTCTGGGCTTTGAAGTCCCCTCGCCTTCTCCTCACGCCCGCTTGAGCAGCGGCGTCAACTGTGAAAGTGGCGCGCGGCGCATTCTGGGAGTTGAAGTCCCTCCCTTTTTTACCTCATAGACATAGAGCTCATAGAGCAGGGATCTCCCTCACCCGCGGGGCATGTCGGGAAATGTAGTCCCGCCTCCTTCCCTCAGGCCTGCCTGAACCGCTGCGGCCTTGTAGTAAATAATAAGTAAATAAGTAAATTGAGCCGGCTGGAGGGTCCTATGGGGTTGCATATAGAGAAGCAAGTAGGCAATGGGTGGGATTTTCCCCCTCCCTCAGTTTAGCCTACAGCCCTTAGATCTCCTGGTGGTCTCCCATCCCGAGCAGTTCTTATTTCCCGAGTAGGTTGACACTGGACTATATCCAGCCTCCCTCCTTCCTGACTCCTAAACTGAGGCTTCAACTTCCCTCATGTTCCAGTTTTTCTCCAGTTTTGTCTACAGCCCTGGGCTCTCCTGGTGGTCTCCCATCCCAAAGGCCTCCTGGGCTCAAAAATGCACACACGAGGCAAACGACTCGTAGTTACGATGGTGGGGTCACGCGATCTCCTGTGGCCACCTTCCGACGAAGCGCAGGGATTCGCTTAAGAACGGTGGCGAGAACGGTCGTCAAATG